ATTTTGAAGTGTTCAAAAAGTTCTATCAAATCATATTAAAAAAATCTAGTCGTTCATCAGATGGGATAGATAACAAGTATTGATTATCATCAACAATCGGGTTCAATGTACATGTGATGGCCATTGACTATTTCAATCGCCCTATGTACATAGAAAATAAGTGCTATAGAAAAATTTTTATCGGAACTCACTATCGAACACATTGTGTGATAGTTTGGCAAAGAAGAAATTAAATTTCAACAGCCATCGATTCTCCTCCTGTAGATATCGAGTGACGGAGAACACACGGATTTTAGGTAGTTGCAAGAATCTTCTAGTGGAATAATTATTGATTTCCGATCTTAACTAGATCATCTCCTTCGTTTGACTAGTTTTTACGATCTAAAACCGAACAACTTGGATTTTCTCGAGAACAAGTGATCTTTTCATAAAAAAAAACGACACATACATTTTCATGAAAATACCAAAAATGATGTATTTTCAGCTGTATTGTCCTAGACTTTTCGAAAAGTTGATAGTGCTTTACAACCAACATTTTTTAATTAAAAGATGTATCTTTTGATGCTCTACAAAACTATATAAAATTTATCTTACACTTTTAAAAATTAGCTACATAACAGGAGCAAGAAGAGTAAAATAAAATATGTAGAATAAACCAAAAAATGGTCGATTTCACCTATTATGATGGATTTCTCCGGTTTAAGAGATATATGAAATTTCGAGTTTTATAGAGCAGTTTTCGTTTTATCGATTGATATAATGTGACAGTGATTTTGGTAAAAGTTTTGTGAGGAAAAAATTGATAAACAAAAATGATTGAAAAACTATAGTTTTTGACAGATTGATATTTTGGGTGAAAACTATTAGATGGTCAAAGTATGAGAAGACATTGTTGAAAAGGTGTCAAAATTTAGATTTCTCAGTCACTTTTGATGCTCTTTCAAACTAGCAAAACTCATTTCAAAAACTAAAATTTATTTGGCAACCAATTCCTACTGTTTTGTGTGGTAACTCCATGAACCTCTCTTAAAAGTCGTCTAAAGTGACTTTTAATCAACCGTATCAATAACTGAAAGTAGTTCTTAATATCTGTCTGTATAATATACAAAGAACGTGAATTTAAATTCATTTCGCGGTTTTTGTTTTATCTCATTCTCTATCATCATATCAATTCTTTTGATGATTTGATGAATATTATATTAGTGCATAAATATTTTGTGTAGAATAATTTTCCCACATTGAATTAGAGGAGGATTAAACATTGCATTTTGATTGGTAGATATAAAGCACTCGTCTTAATTCGTTTGTATTATTCTTCTTCGTGCTCATTTTTCTATTCTATGTTATAACTACATTCATTTAAATGAATCATTTATTTTTCATAATGTTGTTTCATTTTGTCATCATTACTCGGTAATTTTTTTCTCTTTTCTTACCGTCACCTTCAATAGTTGATATTACAGTTGACGAAAATCATTAGAATAAAGAGAGAAAAAGAAAGAAAGAAAAGAATAGAAAATACCATTGCTTCTTCGTTCTCAACTGAATACATACAAAACGCGTGTGTGTGTGTGTGTTTATGATTTACTACTTGTAATTTTAGTGGTTATAAGTGATTAATGTTCGTAATAAACGACTGTTATTATTATTATTATTATTTATCATTATATAAGCCAAATAACTAATATTCATTTGATATTTATTCATTAGGACAAATTCATTTAAATAAAATATAAACAAAACGAACGAATATTTTTAGTTATTTCATCATAGTATTTATAAAATCATTTATCAAATAATGGATCATCCGTATTTAACAAATGAACAATTAGAAGAATGGAAAAATTTAAAAGGAAATTTTACACTAACACCAAATTATATTGATCTTATTAGAGGTATTTGGATTGCAATGTCATGGTATTATAGACCATATATGTGGCGTAATTATACATTCCCTCGTTCATTTATTGAAGATTTTACTAGACATTTTTATTTTCCAATTCATCAAGTCTATTATATTGTCTATATAGCAATATTTATTACAATATTACGTTATTTATTTGAAAATATTATTTGCAAGGTTTGCTTTTTTTTTTAATAATAAACGAAATTTTTGTTTTTTATAAATTTTCTTTTAGCCATTTGTAAATTGGCTTGGATTGAAAGCAGTAGATAAAAAAAAATTTCCTGAATCAGCATGGAAATGTTTTTTTTATACATTAACATGGTCTTATAGTGTTTATTTACTTTTTTATCGTTATAATTATTTTCATGAACCTTATCTAATATGGGATGGTAAGTTAATATTAGATCAAATATTTTGCTTTAATTAAAAATTCTTAAATTAGATTGGTCACCGGGTGTGAATATTCCATTTGATATAACACTAATGTATTTTGTTCAATGTGGATTTTATTTACATTCTGTTTATGGAACACTTTATATGGATCATAAACGTAAAGATTTTTATGTTATGCTTCTTCATCATTTTGTAACAATGGCATTAATTTTTGTATCTTATGCGACACGGTAGGAAATTATTAAATTAATTGTTTTTCTTTTTTTTTGTAATGTATTTAGAAATATTATATTTATAGTTATCATAAGATTGGTTTACTTGTTCTTTTTGTACATGATATAACTGATATATGGCTTGAACTTACAAAACTTTTACATTATATGAGATCACGAGAAGATGGTCGAGATTATCCAATGTGGGAAACTGCTGCTACTTTTGGTTTTATTATGTTTACACTTACTTGGTGTGATGAAAACAAAAAAAAAAAGAATTCATTATATTTGAATTAGAAAGTTTTTTTTGTTTTTTTAAATTAGGTTTTTATTTCGTTTATATTGGTATCCAATGAAAGTATTATATTCATCAGGAGTTGTTACTGCTTATCGAGCTTATGATAAAGGTTGTGGTTTATATGCATTTTTTAATGGATTATTATGGATTTTATTTGGTTTAAATCTCTATTGGCTTTTTGTAAGTAGTTTGTTTTTTATTTTCTATGAAATTAAATTACTTCATTGCTTTTTTTTTGTTTTGTTTTGTTTTATTTTAGTTTATACTTCAATTTCTTGTTCGAGTGTGTAGTGGCACTTTAAATAATCTACATGATGTACGAGAAGACGACGACGACGACGATGATGATGATGAACATATTAAGTAAGTGTTTTTTTTTGTTTTTGTATAAAATAATCAGATGAAGAACATACAAAAGAAGTCTCTTGACTGATTAATTGTTTTTGAATCGAGACTATGCATATTATGTAGATTGAAATGAGTTATGAATATCTCGAGAAAAATTCGAATCCTTAGATTATTGGTACGAAGATTCAGCAATAATACAGTATTTTTTAAGTTAGCGTCATGATCTCTCCTTAGGAACATTGATTTTCAAATTATGACTTGAAACTTTATATAGAGACGGGTATTAACGATACTAGTTTATTGTGAAAATTTCAGATCTTTTTCTTGTTCCTAGCGTGATGTACGATTATGGTAAAAGAGCATCTTTTATATCGTTCACATACACTAGTAGGTACAGCCAAGTTCTGGAATTTTTCTGTTAACCGGGTCTGAAAATTTTGGACCCAATAGCCTGGCCTTCTCTACAGTTGTCAGAGAAATGTACAGCGTGCATTGCCATATCTTTACAGTAATAAGCTAAGGACTTGAAGTCTTTTCAGGATATTTATAGGTCATTTGAATCTATATGATGCATATTGAATAAGATGAAGTTAAACTTATTTATCATATTTGTATAATTTTTACCGAATTACTTTAAATGTACCTTGTGAATTTTAAATATACGTCAACCATAATTCTTCTTACATGAGAGCAAAATTTGTCTAACTATAAAACGTTAATTTCCTTATGCTTTTCTTTCAGGTCGACTTCGTCATCCATTAATGCTAATGTGAGTGACATTATTGACAAGAAGAAGATGTAAATCTCTAGAATTCTACAACATTCTTCATGCGTATATTATCAATTTTTTTACTCATTCCTATTGTTGACGATGATCATTCCATATGATAGTGATTTCGATTTCTTTTTGTTTTTGTTTTCTTTCTTTTTTATTTTTTCCATTTAAATCATTTTATTTAATCATTTTGTGATGTGTCTTCCACCACTGCTGGTGTTTTGTTTAGTATATCTATTTATGTGGTAGTCAAACTAGTCTATTTTTACTCTTAATTCTTTTTTTTTTTTTGTTCTCAGACATCTTAATCTCTTCGTTTTATCTTTTCTTGCTTTCTCATTCATAACTCATAATGCAATGAAAGTAGAAAAATACCATAAAGTAACAATTTCTCATATTTATAAAGAAACAAAAGAAAATAATACAGTGAATAAATAAAGTCGATCAAATAAGTCAATTTTTTTCAACGAAATCTCAATAAATTTGATGTCTGACTATCTTTTGATGATCTACCACATTGAAATCCTTGATTATGTTTGTTTTTTTTCTCTTTCATTGTTTTCGTCCATGCCAAAATACAAATATCATTTTTTTTTGTGCTTTTGTACATATATATCAATAGACTCATTCTTTTTTATCATTCTTTCATTAATTTGTTCAGGGAATAAAGACCAAAAAGAAAATAAATCATTTATTCTCAAATTATAGATATACATATATATGTATATATCAACATAAACTTTTATTTATTTATTTATTTATTTATCCAGCAACAATTACATCAATAGCACGAACAAAAAAGAGATTTATTGTTGTTTTTCTTAAGAGAAGATATAAACGAAGACACTAATTTAATAAGACAACAAAAAACCAAATACACATACAGAATAGAAGAAAACAAAAAAAGAAAAATTCTATGTTCAGATAAACGTGAAATACTGAACAACAAAAAGAACAAAAAGTGAAAAGATAGTATATATATTTATAACATAGAAATGTTATTTATTCGTTGTTACTTATTGTTCGAAGAAGAAATAGAATATTAAAAACAAAAACAAATCTCTTCTTCTAATTTTCATAATCAAATTGCCACCATGTTGTATGAATAGCTTCTGATGGATAAGTAATTAAAGTTGGACCATAAATTGACTAAAACAAAAAAAAAATTTAAAAAAACTAATAAAATGAAAATTTCTTATTACCATTGGTTGATAAACAGGTGATTGTCTTGGACTTATTCTAACACCACGCATATCAGGTATTGTTGTTGCATGATTTTCATTTTGATTTGATGAACCAACACCAAATGGATCAATAACAACACCAGTATGATCAGAAAATATACGCATTGTTGTTTTAGTTTCACTTTCATATAAACTAAAAATATAGAAAAATAAAAAATTCTATTTAAAAATTTTAATTCTTTTTTTTTTTTTTACGTTGCAATATAATTCTTTCCAATACCAGCACGATCAAGTTTATAGAAATATTTATTAATATTTGATAATATATCAACTCGTGTTGATTGAATTAATCGATCTTGTTCAACTTTTTGACCATATAAAATATCGATTGGATTTGATGAACTTAAATTTAAATAATGCTTCAAAAGAAAAAAACAAAAAATTCAATTAAAATCTTTTAATAAAATATAATCTTTTTCTTTTTTTTTTGTCGATCTTACCGTACTCAAATTTCCATAACTACGTAAATTAAAATAAATATTATTTGTTAAATCAACAATAATTTGTCTATTTGATGGTGTTGAAATAATTGTTTTCATTATAAATTCATTTGAATTTTCTGATGAAAATTCATAAATAATTTGTATCGATTGATAAACAAAACGAACACGATATGGATTATTTTTATCAACATACATTGACCAATTTTCTTTATAAAGATTTAAAAATGGATAATTTGGAGGTAATTGATTTGTCATATTCATTGTATTTGTTGGATCATCAAAACCAAAACGTATCGAACCAAAATAATTTTCACTACCACCTTTAATAACTATAGAACGATATTGTTTAGAATTATTTTTATCATTATATGGAATTAATATATCATTTATTGATGCACCACGACGTGATAATACAACTATAATACCATCATCATTACGATGTGTTAAATTAAAATAAATATCATCAATTAATCTTTCCGATGAACTTAGATCATCATCCATTGAATATGGATAAAATTTTTTTGATAAAATACGTTCACCATGTTTGCCATTTAACTATAGAGAAATAGAATATTTAAATAATTAGCATTTTATTTAGCACAATATAATATAAAAGAAATTGATTTTTATAATTATAGTCATATAATGAAAGGCAATTATTAATGAACATAAAATTCTATTAGATAGACAATCAAATTATAACAAGCATGTCAACTTGATATAATCTGAGATGAGAAAAAGAAATTAGAATTTTCGTTCATGGCCTGTAGTGGCATAATCAGAAAAAGGTTGCGAAAGGGAGTGAATTCAGCCCTTTTTTTTTAAGCAGAACACAACCGTTGGTAGGGAATTGTAAGCCTTCTGCAATCTAAAAAACAAAAATTTTCCTTTACGTAATCTCAAAAAGTTTCAATTAGAAAAGCAAAAACCTTTCGAAAGATCGACGGAGTGAACGAGATTTTGTGCTTTTCGTACGGATCTTTTTTTTTTGGATTTGGTACGAAGCCAAAAGGTTCCGAGGTTCTATCTCTGAAAAAAAAATCTTTTTACAGTCCGTAACAGAGATTTTAAACTCGAACCCGATCGAAACAAAATTTCTAAACTCAGTTGAGTCCGGATCCACGTAAGACTAAGTAAGCTCTGGTTGTGTCACCTCTATCTCCTGTTCAGTTACGTCCAGTACTAGTTCACTAATCATTTTTTTTTCATCATGAAATATTATAAGGTGTAAAAGTTGAAAAATAATCTTCTTTACAAAATTCATTTTATTAATCAACTCTTGTAATTCGTTACTTTTTCAATAAAATCAATAGATTGTGTCGAAATTAATTTCAACGAACTGCACGATTTTTTTTTTTTTGTATTCTTAAGAATACTTCATAATTATATTCTCTCAAGTGTTCTTGACACTTTCTAACGAAAGTGTTGATATCAACGAATAAGCTGCTCAACGTAATTATCAATATAGAAAATGTTCTACTTTCTAATCATAAAATTTCTTTCAATAAAAGAAGAAAAGAAAAAGCGATTTTCTATCCTATATTAAACAAATTTGAAGCGTATCTCTATCTTAAATTATTCATTCAATGATTAATTAATGATATATCAACCTTGAATAGATATATTTCATTGATAAAGATGTCTGTCTTTCAATTGTCAGATGCTTTATATCTGCCATACTTCTATTCAATCAACCGATGAAGACAAGATAATGAACGGCTATTGTTACTTTCCTACACATTCTCTAATTACACTGTATGTTTGTCCTTGAAAGTAGCTTTTGTATAGTAGACTATATACACAAAAAAATGATTCGTTCAATCGTGAATCCTTTCAATACATACAAACACATACTCAATATATATATATATATATGTATCTATCTATCTATATATATATATATAGATATTCTTTTCTCTTCAAGCCTTACACACTCCAATCATCAAACAAACAATAGATATTTTGAGTGGACTTACTTCTTTAAGATTGTAAAAAATATATGCAATACTAAAAAGAAATAATGCAAAACATACAATAGCCAATATAAGAAATAATTTATTTAACATTGAACAACATGATTTTGATTTATATGAATGTTGATCATTATCATCTATATCAATTTTATGATGTTCACTTGATGTAAAACCATTTTTTTGTTGATGACCATTTGTTTTAACTGATTCTAATGCAACATCATGTGCTTCATATTTAACATCAATATGAGTTTGAACATTTCCATCAGTATTTGTTTGTTCTATTGTCGTTGGTATAGGTTCTAATGGAGTTGAAACAATTGCTTCAATTGTTGATGTTGTTTCTAGTTCAGAAGCTAATGGTGGAATTGGTTGAGGATTGAGTGGATTGCCTGTATTTGAACTAATTTGAGATGATGATTGTGAAACAATATTATCCATTTTATTAATAACAATGAATCAAAAAAACAATTGAAATATGTGAATAGATCTAAAATGAATGACGATTGTATATGTCCTACTTGTCTTTCTATCGTTTGTTTGCTATGTTCGTCCGTATGAACAATGAAATGTTGTAGGATATATACATATATAAAGCGAGAAAGAGAATAGAAAAGAAGAGAGAGAGAGAACGAATCTCTTTTGCTTGTTCTGGAAGGAGAGAAGGATAAACGGTCAGTCCTCAATGGCCTTCTTCTCCCCTTTTTTTCTTTTTTTTACTTCGTTTATAATAGCGTCAAGTTCGAAATAAACGAATGGCATACTGCATGTTTGATAACTTTAATTTATTCGTTTCTCTATTCTAATCAATGAAACAGAAGACATTGGGATGACTTGAAAGAAGACAGACCGATAACGGTCAATATATATATAGTTGACTTTTAACTTTTTTTGACATATATCGCGTGTCTAGTGAATTATAGACAAGTCCATCAAATTAGTAATATCGATAAATGTATTTAAATATATATATAGTTGCAAATAAAACGACTAATGTTTATCGATCAAATTAAATTTACAAAAACCATTTCAAATATACATACATGTTAAATATCAATTCAAATACTGTTTTTTAGTAATATACTTAATCATTCTTATCTTTATCTGTAAATGAAGAGAAGAACATTTCGTTTTGTGTTTTTGATTGATATATATGTATGTATATACTGCCGACATATTTTAAAAAACAGCACGATTGCTATGGGAAATTATTGTCGATATATATATATTGAAATTACATACTGCAAAAATGCTATGTATGTGTATCAATGATGTTTTTTTCAAGATTATAACAAAAATTTCGGATGGTGTGATATTTTGTTTTTCTTGAGCAGTTATATATCCTATTGGAATGTCAGCTATTCAAATGAAGCAATTCTCTTGAGATAGTATTTCAAAAAAAAAAAAAAAAAATTATTCGTAACTTCTTTTTTGTTTGTAAAAATTACAAATAGATTTTTAATTAAATATATAAAAATTTCTTTTTTTTTTTTATTGCTTTATATTAATCATAATTGATCATTACGTATCAAAGTACGTGAGATATGAACATTATATGAACTTAATATACGTAGCTTCTCAAATAACGTTAACCTTACATATAAATACTTAAGGAATGTAGTACACAGAACAAGAATACACACATAAATACATATGTATATTTATAAAATAATCAAACATCATCGTCACTAGTATCAATACCGACAAGATTAAGAGTATTTTTTTTATTTTCATCAATCATAATTATTGAATTTTTTTCAGCTAATTGTTCAATAAATTGTAAACGTCGATTAAGTTTAATCATAATTGCTTTATATTCACCCATAATACGTGCAATACGTGTTTCTAAATAATCAATATTTGTTTGTAATTGTGTTAATTTTTCTGGTAAAGCTGCTTGATCTTGTTGTGCTATTTGTGCTGCATTTTCATCTAATAAATTATCTTTACGTAAATGTGCTTTTCCACGTTCAATTAATGTATCACGAGCTGATGGATATTCAACTAATACTTCCCATAAATCTTGTTTTGTTAAACAAAATAAATCTGAATAACCAACACTTCGAATATTAGCTGTTCGACGATTACCAGTTTTACTTCCTACAAATTTTAAAAAGAAAAAGAAAGTAATAGAAATTTAAAACAAAGTTTTTATCTTATTTAAATCAAACCTGGAATATTAAGTATAGATATTTCACCAAAAACACTACCTTCTTCAAGTGTAACAAATATTTTTGTACCATCATCTGATACAACATGTAATCGTCCACGTTTTATTATATACATTTCTTTACCAATATCACCTCAAAAAAAAAAATTAAAAAAAATTAAAATCCTAAAAGAAAATAATAATTACCTTTTCTACAAACATAATCACCTGGACTAAAAATTTGTAATTTTAATCTTGTAACAAGTTCAACAAGTAAACCAGGTTGAGCTTCAGCAAAGATTGGTACACGTTTTAATGCAGCTAAATGTATATGTTTAGCTATTTCAACACGTAATTTTTGTGGTAATGAATCTAATTTATTGAGAAAAAAATAAAAAATATCGTTTTGTTGTATTTCAAAAAAAAAAAAGTCTTTTCTTTTCCTTTTTGTTTTTACCTAAAACAAGATCTTCATTAACAACTTGTTTTTGTAACCATAAATAATCAAACCAAGTAATAACACGTCGTTCAAGTTCATTTCCAACTTTTCGAAATGTCATATATTGTTTAACTTGATCAACTTTTTGACGAAAATCAGCACGTACAGCAGTCATACTAGCAATTATTGAACCAACATTACCAACAACTATAAATATCTTATCGTATATATATAGCAAATTTTCATAAATAAGACTTACTAGTAGCAAAAACTATAACACCGGTGAGAAAATCAGCAGTAACAAAGAGAGTTTCAATCTAAATATTTAAATAATAGCGTGATTATACAGGATGGTTCAAAAGTAAGAGAACACAGAATTTTTTTCGATTTCTTCTTTGTACATGAGTAGGTAGGCTTCATATTTACATCACATATATTACGTGACACTGATAAAGTATGTAGCATATACTTAGCTTTGGGGTGCAGTAATTTGTTCAAAAGTATACAAAGAAATTTTACTACTTCTCTGTGATTGTAAGAGAAATTCGGTGTTTTTCAATTTCAATAGTTTTGTCGGCTTATTCTGATTTGTAAAATAGATCTAGTTTAATTACATTTTGTACGGATTTATCCTAAACGAAGTCAAAATTAATTAAATGGAATTCATTTCACAGATTGGGATAATTAGAGAAAAGTATGGAAATCGAAAAATATCGAATTTCTCTTACAGTCACAGACGAACAGTAAAATATATTTGCAAACTTTTGAACAAATTATTGCATCCAAATATTGATCATATGCTATATTTTTTTATTAATATCACCTAGTATATGTGATATAAATATGAAGCCTAACTATGTACAAAAAAGAAATTAAAAAAACTTCGGTGTTTCCTTACTTTCGAGCTACTCTGTATAATTGTAGGAATGATCAGTCATTATTGATGAGTCTTAACTAAAAATCATTCTTTAAACATTTTCTTATGTACATATAAGAACGAAATTATTTGCTTATATATTAACTTCCTTAAATGTATGACATGTGAGAACATTCGAGAATTAATCGAACTTTTATGTTTAGTTTTCACTATGGATATGTTGATTATTGTCATCAGTATATTCAAAGAAATATAGTATTCTTAATATTTTTCAAAAATCTAGTTAGATAAGAATTTCGAAAAAGCAAAGATGCTCATCGGTTTAATATCATTAGGCTAATATAATATTCGTTAATAAAACTAAACATGTACTAATAATCTGAAACATCATTTTCAAAGATGACCTTTTTCTGTTAAGACAGTATAAGTACCTGTCGATTCTTTCAATCAACTTTTTATGCTCTCTTCAAAGCTATGATCAGAATTCATGAAATAAAAAAACAAAGATTTCGACATTGACAGAAATTTGTCTAAAATTTACATTATTAGAGTCAATTCTATCTATTTCAGAGACTCGTATTTTTGTATTCGATGAAATCTAACAATAGTTTCTGATAGAGCATTCAAAACTGATCACAATTACGAATGATTATCGAAAGTTTGATAGTTCTCAATGTTGGGAATGTATTACTTTTAGTATAAATCAGAATATTGTAACCCGCGGATCGAGTACCCGTATTCGGTAGGGGTACGGGTTCGAAAAATGGTACTAGTGCAATATTCTAGTATAGATGCAAGAATTTCTGGAGTTTCGAGTCCCGTATTATTATATTTCCAGTATTGAAAATTTCCAACAATTCTTCATAGTAATTGTGATCAGTTTTAAATGCTCTAATAGATTTCATCGAATACAAAACACGAATCTCTGGAAGTGGTTGAAATAAATTCAAAAAACATGAATTTTATTTAAATTTCGATCAATGTCGAAATCTTTATTTTGTATTCCTTGAATTCTGATCATAGCTTTGGATAGAGAAAGTCGCTAGGGGCTTACATTGTCTCTACAGGAAAAGATCATCTTTGAAATGATATTTTAGACATTGGTATATGTCTAAATAAAACGAGAAAACAAAATTAAAACATTCCTGAGATTTTTTCTATTATTATCATTGTATTTCTAACTGATATATTTAAAGACAAACGATCGAAACATCTTTTTTTTTTCGTATAAATACAATATTTAACAAAAGCAAAAAAAAAATTATTCGAATCGTCTTATAAATAAATAATCTTTACTAAAAGAATAATAATAAAATATTCTACATTAAAAATAGATTATCTTACATTTGTTTCCGGTGGTGGTACTTCACCAATATTAGTTAATACAAGTGTTGACCAAAAAAAACAATATAAATATTGTGTTGTTAATGTTGTTCCTGTTGGCATTGTCATATTATAAACCCAAGAATCAGTTGAATAACCAATCCAACGACTAATTATAAAATAAAAACAAGCATTCCAATGAATTAATATAAGAATAATTATTAATAATGAAACAAGACGAAATATATTTGGATGATTTGTTTGTGTTTCAACTTTATTAGAAAATTCAAAAAAACGATAAACACGAAATAAACGATTGAAACGTAATGATGGTAAAAGATAACATGTTGGAATTAAATATAATAAATCTGTTGGTAATAATGATATAATATCAAATAAAAATCTACGACTTTGTTTATAATGTTTTCGTAATTTTTCTAAATCACGAACAATAAGACCTTGTTCAAGATAACCTTAACAAAAAAAAAAAAAAAATCATTTTTTCTAAAAATCAATCTATTTTATTATATAAACAACAACGAAAAAAAAAAACCTTTTCGTGTTTGTATAAATGTATCAATAATATAACATAGATCGCAAAGATAATCACAAATAAGCCAAATAATTAAAAGACGTTCTTGAAGAAGTAAAAAAGCACTACGACCAATAAGTATTATAAAATTATATAGAACTGCTATAGAAACAATTGATGACCAATAATAATAGAATGATTGTGATGGATCAACAATCCAGTTTATAGATATATGTTCATCTTCATTTATTTGACTTATATTTAATACAACATTTTTTCTAAGAAATGAATCTATTCGTTCTATATCTACACGACGTCGATGACGTTGTTGCATCCAGTGACGACAATACTATTAATTATATATTCAATATAATAATAATAATAATAATACACGTAAATAAACTTACATTTGGAAATCTTAATACCAGCTGAAAAATGATATTATTATTATTAGTAAAGAAAAATTAAACAATAAATATAAATAATTCTACCTGAACTATTCGAACGAAACTATATAAAGATCTAGGTGTAATATGAGCTGTTTCAACTGTTATATCAGGTATAGGTTGAATACCACATTCAATTGTATTCAATTGTTCTTGATTATATTGTTGAGTAGAATATGAAGTATTCATGTTGATATATAAATGTGTACCTTAACGATCTTAACAATTTAATAAAGATACCACCTGAATCTAATAAAAAAAAAATGAATAAATTGTTTTAATCTTAACCAACTTTGTTTTTACAATGAAAACTTCTGTGAAATTAGACAGTTAAGAAGGAAGATGGCATGTTTATAGCAACTATCATTATATATAACTGTTAAAGAATTTTCTACTTTTATTTATTCGTAATAATGCTTCTCTACTTAGAACTCACGCACACACACATACTTTCTTCTTTTTTTTCTTCTTCTGAAATACAGTCTATTCTATCTGTGATAGGATAAGACGATGCGTGAGAAGAATATTTCAATTTTTTTTTCTCTCATTATAATTGAACTTGTTTGCTATTATTGATATGATAGACATGCATAATAACAAGAAATGGCATGGTTACATTTGATAATTGTCAAGAGAAATATTTAGTTTTATCAAGCTTTTCTTAAGGGGACCCCCCCCTTTCCGGCGTTTTTAAGAAACGGCCGAACGAAAATTCCTGAAACTTGCAGGGTAGATAGACCTCGAGTAGTAGAGCAAAAGTTGTCATAGACACAAATTTGCCAGACGTCATCTTCATGGACTTCCAGAGACCCCAAGGTCAAAAACTTGCAAAAAGTTTTCCCCCCCGCAAATCCACAAATTTCATCCGTTTGAGCTGAAATTTTTACTGTGGGTAGACGGACCCAATCGGGGTGGGCGTTTTTTTTTTTTTTCAAAAATTCCAAATACTTCAGGCTGGAGAACCAAAATACTGAGCACCTTGCAAAATCTCTAGGTTTTTTGGATCCTAAAAATTTTGCGAAGCCTGCCAAACTTGATTGGTAGAAGGTATCCAAAAAAAAAAAAAACGCCCAACCCAAATCACTTGAAGTCTCACCAAAACAATTTTCAGCCCGATCGGACTTGAAATGGCGGAGAAAAAGGGGGAAAACTTCATTTTTTTGCTGAAAAAACTGATTTTGAGAAAAACGCAAAGAAATTTGTGTTTTTTTGGTTTTTTCAGCATATTTTGTGATTTTTTTCGAATTTTTTATATATAAGATGTGGTTTTTCAGTTCTCAAAATGTACTCAATGGATAGAGGGCATTCAAATCTATATACTAATCACAAAAAATGAAAAATGAAAAATGTGAAAATTTTGAGTCGGGAAAGGGGGGGGGGTCCCCTTAAGATAATATCTTCAATATTTAGATGAATTGATATTTCACTACAAAAAAAGAAAGAAAGAAAAGAAAAATTATAAATTTTTCATCGGTAAAGTGGATGATTTTATTTAATATTTGATCAAGACGCGAGTCGTGATTGTATTGATAATAAAGTAGATGCCACTATTTGACGACATGATGATGCGAATATTGAGAGATGAATTTTTATCATGAAAAAACATTTGTTTTATATATTCAATTCTTTGAAAAAAATTAGAATGTTTTCAATGATAATTTTAGTTTTTGAATGGATATCCACATTTTTCCAGTAAAATATTTTAATCAACCAGCTGATTCGTCTGAATGTTCTGTCATTAGTTAAAAACATAGATAATATTATTTCTAAAGGATACCCTGAAAAAGTTTATTTACAATAGATATAAGAGAGTTTAATTAAATTTTATTTAAAAAAAAAAAGCTTTTTTATTTCTTTTTAAAGAAATAGACTAAATGTTAGCAATATTGAATTATTCATGATAGATTAACGAAGTTTGACAATTGTGAATTAATATAGAAATTACTGTGAGAATAAACTGATAGATCAAATCATCGTTGATATAGAATATAATATTTTGTCAAATTTGAGACAAGTAACTTTATGAAAGTATACAATCATATTCAATTCAACTATTGCAAATATAATCGATGTGTGAACTATTTTTCTTTTTAAAAAGAATTTCTTTTTTGAAAATTTCGTGTTTCTTTAGATGGCTTGTTCTTTAAATACAATATCAAAAATCGATGATTTATCACGAATTCGAGCTATTCTTTTACCTCATCTACTTGATTCTATAGTTGATAATGATTATCAAACAACTGATACTGATGCAACAGAAGATGATGAAATACCAAGTAAGAATTAATTCTTTTGTTTTTTGTGTTTTTTTTTCAACAAGAAAAATTTTCATAGCTTCAGAAAGTGTTGCTCGAACAGCTGCATTACTTGTAACATATGAAAAAAAAAAGAAAAAAACCTCTCGTAATCGTAATCAATGGTTGCGTGATTGTCAATTAGCATTTTCACCAACACTTAATCTACTTGTAATTGCTTTTGATCAACAAATTGTTGTCTCAACAGGTTAACTAAATCTTTATATTTATAAGATTTATTTTTTATTTATTTCTCTTTGAAAAAAAAACTCAACTATTAGCTAGAAATAAAACTTCAAGTCATGAACAATCAAATTTTACAGCATCATTTGATACAAAATTACAAGTTGAATCTAAGTATGTCTTTAAAAAAAAAAGAATTTTGTTTTTCTTTTTAAATAAGTCATTTATTTGTAGTGAAAGAATTACCAGTGTACTTTGTTTACCAAGTGCATCAACTGCAAAAAGGTAGATTTAAAAAAAAACAATAATTTCATTAAACAAATAATAATTTCTTTTCAATTAGATCATCACCTGAATGGACATGTATTATTGTTGGTTTTACAACTGGTTATGTTCGAATGTATACTGAAGTAGAACAAGAATAAATATAGTCTATATATTAAAATAAGAAATATAATTGATTTCTTTTTGTTTTTTTGAAGGATGGAATTTTATTATTTTCACAAATATTTCATGATGAATCTGTAGTACAATTGAAATGTCATACACAATTTCCATCACCTATTCGAAGTATAACAGAACAGGTTTTATTTGAAAATTTTTTAAAATGTCTTAAATATTTTATGATTATAATTTTTAGCCCGATGAACTTTTTATTCGATATAGTTCATCAATTCTTGTTGCTGTTGATGGTTTATCACTTTATCAATTATTAAAAGTTTGTCGAGAACATATATTAAAATCAAGTATGAAAAGAAATCATTTTTTTTTTGTTCGGATAACATATTATTTTCTTTTTCGTGAAATATAAGCTAAAGAAGAGTTATCGAGACTTATTGAATCTTTTTAAAGTTTCAGAAATTTTTTTTTCTTCTATATCATATGTTATGAAAGTATAATGTCTTTTATAAGATTAATCTAAATACATCTTCATATAAATTAATTTATCGTTGGATTACTTTTTTTCAAGTGTACTTACTCTCAAAATATAATTGTACTGCAGTGGGTTGTGATAATAACACCTTTACATTAAATAATTCCTCGGTGGATCTATTCGAAATTTAAATATCTCTACTGGCACTTCTCTGCATCCAACTTTCTAACATAAATTGATCCCTCAACGAATCGATAATCACGACTCTCAAATTTTTACAACTACCTAACGACACTGGATGACTCAGCAGTTAGAACGATGACTTGTTAGTTTCTACATCTAAGGCTCGAACTCTTATTTGGTTCACTCTTTTTTTTTTGTTACCCACGACTTCCTTTTGATTTTAATATGCCATTAAAAGATTCCTATTAAAAGTCCTGCCACATAATACTGAATATCTATATTCTACTGGACAAGAACAGATATCAGAGTTTGTTTAAAAAAATCTCATTAAATCCTGAAAACTGCTAGATCTAAATCATAACAGGCATTAGTCAAAGATCGTTACGACCTGCGACGAACACCTTAAGGACACTCTCGCTGCATCACAGATTATGACAGACGTTGTTGGTATACGATCACAGACTGTACATCAATAACGTCTCGTTGTAATGTATGAATTACTTCTTTATTGTGTTTCTGAAGGATTAAATAAATAGATGGTGAAGAAATATATTTCTAAGAAGGATAGAATGAAACAAATGCTTTGTGATTAGCAACAACAGCTACATTGTGTTTCACATTTTAATCATGCAGGAATTGTACTAACAGAATTTTTTATAGGTAATATATTGTCTTCATCATCACCTCAATTATCATTTAAAAAATGGAGTTTTCCTGATCAAAATCAAGTTTATGATTTTGTTCCTGCAGGTAAATATTTTATTTTGATTATTTATTATTATATAATTAATCGTGTTTATATTTATAGGATTAATAACTGATAATCGTTTTGATCAATTTTGTGTTGCTTCCATGAGAGGTGGTTATCAAGCTCAAGTATTTGAATTTCATTTTTTTTTCTGAGTTTAATAAAATTAAGTTGTAAATTTTTATTATTTAGATACGTTCTGTACCACCTCTTTTTTCTCGTTTAATTACAATTGGTGCTGAACCTTATTGCAATTTTTATTATTGTACTGAAGTAAATTTATTATTTGTTCTTGATTTTTTTTTTTGTTATTTATAAATAATTTTCTTTGATAAAAGGGTACACAAACGCCACATCTTACTGAAGTAGCTTCTGCACTTGCTGATAAAGTTAAAAGTTCAGTTGTATCTGCAGTTAGGTATGTTTGATTAGATTTTTCTTTTTTATATATTAGAAAAAAAAAAGAACTAAGAAATTTTAAAAATATTTTTTAGTCGATTTTTTCCATTGAGACAAGCATCACCAAATACAGAAAATCGAAAAGTAAAAATTGAACCTGAAACAAAACTTGAAAGTAGGTAAGTAAACAAAACAATTTTCGAATTATTTTCATATAGATGAATAAATAAATAAAAACAAATAAATAATTTAGATTTGGTATTCGTGATTTACGTCGACATGGAGAAAAAATTATTATTTCACCAGGACTTCATATAGCAGCAATTTGTGATAGTTTTGGTCGAATAATTCTCTATGATGTTCATCGAAGTATTGCTATTCGTATGTTTAAAGGTTAGTATTAGAATAATTTCTTTAGATAAAAAAAAACAAAAAATATTCAATTGAATATATTTTGAAGGATATCGTGAAGCAGAAATTGGTTTTATTCAAATTGAAGAATCAACAACTCGTGATACATCAATGAGTTTATTATCAAGAAAATCTGCTCTTTTTCTTGTTATTCATGCACCTAAACGTCAATTAGTTGAAGTTTGTTATATTATTATTAATAATTTATGAAAAAAAAAAAACGATTTTCATTAAATGTTTTAGATCTGGGGTTGTCAACAAGGTGCACGTGTTGCTGCTTTTAATGTATCAAAAAATAGTCGTTTAATTTATCTTGAACATTATACACTCGGTTGGACAAGTAGTGGATCAAATTCATCAAAATTATCACAATATAAACAATGTATACTTCTCGAAGAAAATGGAGATATAAAAACATTTCAAATTCCATTTCATCTTATATTAAGGTACATTCATAAGAATGATAAATCGATGTGATAATTTAACGGCATAATCCATCTTCATTGATGAGAATTTTCTTAAAAGGTTTTTTTCCAATATAAAAACGGATACGATACTACTGCAATAGATGTTTTCTGAACATCGAATTACTTTTCTGTTTTAGACAAAACTTTTCTCTTCATTTTCGTTGAAATAAGTTTTTTTTTAACTAGAATTTTGAATTTTAGTCATTTCTAAATTAATTAAACAAGAAATTTTCATAATCTAAAACATATTTATTGTTGTGTTTGTTTATTTGCTGTAGAATATTTGAGATTTTCTTTCAAAACTAGAATATTGTTATTTTTTCATCTATGAATTACTTATCATGAGTAGGGATCAGAGATATGATCGGTTCCAAAAAAAAATACAAGCAGAGCCTATCTCTGGTAAGGGCCAATCGGCTTCCGACTCAAAGTTCAGATCAAATGACTGAAGTAACTGTTCGAACATTTCTCCAGATTGGAATTATTGCCAAGCTGTTTGATCTCTGATCATGACTTACAAGGAAAGTCGACTACTTGAAACTTCGTAAAGAGTCAATTCTTAACGAAAATAGGTTCTTGAGAATGTTTGAAATCTTGTTGTTATTGTTGTTGTTCCTATCCTAAGATACAGTTATGATAAAAGCATATCTTTTACATCGCTCATATACAACGATGGATTCTATGCTCCTATTTCAGAATAGAAGCAAATCAAAAGATCTAAAGCTCTCACAACAAAACTATTCTCTTTGACATCTGTCTCTATATAAAGTTTCAAATTGAAATTCGAAAATCAATTTTTTTGATATTCCTAAGAGTGTGACTACGGCATTCATATAAAGCACATACTTCCGACTCAAAAGCGATCGTGGTTAGACTGAATTTGATTAATGTATTAATAAAAAAAACAATGATCATTTGTTTTTTTTCTTATATCTCAATTTAGTGATCGAAATAATCAACGAGCACATAATCTAATGGTTGTACGTCAAGTTCGTCGTCTTCTTAAAGAATCAACTGATGATAATGATTCATTAAAAAATGATATTCATCAACAAATAAAACGTCTTATATCATTAGATTCACAATCTGAAATTCTTGATCTTTTATTTCATACAGATTATCTTAATTTAAATACAATACGAATGTTTATTGATGAAATTTTAAAAGATTTAGAAAAAACTTCTCATCATCATAATCCACAAGACTGTATACATTTACAAGATTTTTGTAATAATGCATTAAATTTACTTAATATTTATACTTGTATTGAACAATATCGAACTGATCATTTATCATTATTATTTAAAAATGAAGTTTTATTTTCTAAAGAGGTAAGTCAGAAATAAAAAATCATTTAAGAAAAAAAACTGATATTTTTATTTTTATAAAAAAAAAAGGAATTTCAAAATGAACTTAATTTAACCGATGATGAAACAACACTTTATTATCAATTATTCGAACAATTATATAATAATCGAAATGATAATATAAAGAAAAAAGTTCATTTTATTGATGATAATAATTTATTAATTTCAAATTTTAGTTTTGGACAATTTCAATCAATGTTTATATCATCACGTCATATACATTCAATAGATAATCAACTTGAAATAAAATCAAATATAAATTCAGAAGATTTTTCAAATCTTGGTTTATATTTATTTTCTTCATGGTTTTGGTATAATAATATTGATAATATTGAAGAAAATTTTCATTCATATCTTCAATTAATGCATTTAAAAAATGATGATCTTGTTTTACTTTTTTTACATTCTTTATTTTCAATACCATTAACATTACCAAAATCAATAAATATTTGGAAAAAATTATTTTCAATTATTTATTCATTTAATAATAATAAAAAATTATTATTAATAACATTTGAAAAAACAACAAATGGTTTAACAGCACTTTTATTAATATTAATATTACGTTTATATGATAATAAAATAGATTTATCACTTTTAATACGTCGTTTATCAGCACTTGTTGCTGTACAAAATTTATATTCATCAATTAAATATAATAATGAACATAATGAATCAATTGATATTAAATTAAATGAATTTACTGTTGAATCAATTTTTATTAAACATCGATATGATTTTTTACTTGAAATTATTACACGTAGAATTGTTGAAGTTGCTATTGAACCATCATGGTTAACAATAACATCAGTTGATTTAAAAGAAAATTCATTTCAAAGTAAGATTTAAATCATATTTATCTATCATGTTTTCCTTCTAACGGATGGTATTCCCTTTTCGAAGTGCTCCTAGAAAAACGATTCATTAGAAAATTTCCGAGTAGATAAATCTTGATGACTAGAGTAAAACTTATCATAGACTGAAAGTTATCTCTTGTTTTACACATTTATTTCTCGTCTATGTATAGAACAGAGGGAGAGAGAATTATATCGAACGATATCTCATATATCTCAGTCTGCGACTTCGACCTCATCATAAGTTAAAAATGAGATAACTACAAGCAGATTAAACGCAAAAAACGGACTATTTTTAAAAAAAGTAACAAATCAAGTATTTTTTTTTTGTGGTAGTGAATCATGTTGTCAAAAGAAATTTCTTCTTGACTGATCGATAAAGTGACCTTAACTTTGGTTTTGACGTTCAAAAAGGGAAGGAAGCGACGGTTTCATCTGTTTTAATTAGATTATGCTAAAAATAATTTCATAGCATTCTATGTTATTTACAAAATAATATAATATGTTCTATGTTGAAATAATGAAACGACATTTATTATTGAATATAGAAATTTTTTCGAATTATTTCAATCAAAACGTACAAGATTTTTTTTTCTTTAAATTTGCAGAAATGAAACTATGATCTCTAAAATTGTAAAACTTTATAATCGAGATATCCGTTTTTTTTCCTACTCATCGTGAAACAGCAACATTTTTTGACGCATTGAAAAATAGGATTTATATCGTTATAAAAAAAAAAGATAAAAATCACAAATATTATTTCAAAAGACATCAACAAAATATAGAAGTAATTGAGTAATGAAATATTCTTGGCAAGATTAAATTTGTTTTAGTCCTGAGATTCAAATAAACTTTGATTTTTCTCAATCGAAACGAATGCCTGTAGACGAAATTTTGAGATCAAAACTCTTTGTTTTAGATTGTTCAAAAATCCCCAATGCTCAGTAGAAGCTTCATTAAAACGGTCAAAACTCTTCATTTGATATGCCATAGATCCGAATCCTTTTTCTTTTTAACTTCTCTTAGTCTCACAGGACCCTATTCATAGTCATAATATAAAATTGAACGGCATCCAGCATGTAGACATAATTTCCTCGTAAGATTTTTCATAAATAATCTAATTTAGATAATCTTTCAATTTGTCGACAAATTCTTCCACATACATTTGAACCAACAGTTTTATTAATTTATTCGTCTTGGATATGTATGACTATTTGGCATAAACAATTAATATCACCTACTAATCCAACATCATTAACAATAAATCGAACACCAATTGATCTTTTTAATTTATCACTTATTTTCTATAATCATATTCAAATTGGAATAATAAAACAAAATTTAGGTACACTTTTATGGCATACATATATACGTTCTCGTATATTAACATTAACACAATTAATTGAAAAAATTGGTAAAATTCCAAAAGATCGTTTATGTTATAAAGAACTTCATTTAAATGAAAAAGATTTAATTATTTTACTTGAACAATTATCAAAAAATTTTTTTAATACATTTATTGATTCAATTTATAATCAACTTAATGAAATACCAATATTTAATATTGATGATGTTTGGCAATTAAATACTACTGGTATTTCATCGGATCAATTAGGTATTATAATTATTCTAATTAAATATTCAATAAATTATTATTTTTTTTTTGTAAAACATAATCTACACCGAATGTTAAAGTATAGAGATTGAAATTTAGTTTCCCTACAAACCGTAACAGACATTGTTGATATATGATTAAAGATTGTATATCAATAATGCATCGTTATGATAATGATTTTGAGACAAAATATTTTTTTATTTTTGGCTCGCTTGAAAGTGTTTTCAAGGAGTCAAACGCTATGGCATATTGCGCACTTTCCGAATACAGGCTTAGAAATTTTACCTGAGTTTGTGTCCGAGAGTGGTGAGATCAAATTTGAAAGATCAAAAAAAAAATGCGTTTGGACAGAAAGTGTGAGCTGAAGTTTCTAGTACAAATAGTTGCTCATTTTTATCTGCGTGGAAGTATCTCATAAGAGAAGGTCGTCAAGTGTGACTCGCCAATTGAACTGATAAACCCCGGTGAGACTTGTCGAAACCTATAAGGTTTCATTCCCATACATTGTTCTGCAAAAGCTATTGCAATTTTGGTAAATGTTTTATTCCTGGCAAGGTATTTGGGAAAAATCAATGTACAGAATTGCAAGTTGAAAAATTTGCCCAATGGTAGGTCTCGTGAACCTTAGAATATTCTGGAAATTTCAGCCTAAAGGAATATGTTCTTCTTGAGATATTGAATATCCAAAAGTAAGCATGAGTCCCTAAGAAAGATATAAAAAGCGCAGTATTTTTAACATTCGATATCTTAAGAACAATGCATGATTTTAGGCTGAAATTTTCAAGGCATTTTAGGGTCTATGACACTTACCTATGGGTAAAAGTTCGGTTATTTCATAAATACCTTGCCAGAGATAGATAATTAAGGAAAATTGTAATCATTTGGGAAGGATAGCGTATGGAAACGAACTCTTGTGAACTTCTGCTTATCTCATCGGGATCTACTTAGTGACAAAATATAAGTTCGATTGACAAGTCACATTTGAGGACGTTCTTTCGTCAAACAAGTCACAAATTATGAATGATGATCAGAGTTCTATGCTCTCTTTGAAAATAGGATTAGAAATATTGTGTCTATTTTTGTTTGAGACTGATGAATAAAATTTTTAAGGGCCCAAAACAAATTAGATTGAATTGTGAACTAATAGGCTTTTGGTAACTCCCTATATAAATTTCTTTTCGAAAGTGTCAAAAAATATTGGAGTCAATTGTTTTGTCGAGCAGACACTTCTTTACAAAATTTTAGATTGAACAAAGTTATGATTTTTATTTAAGTGAAACTATAGATATTTTATCAAGAGCTCCTTACTATGCAAAACACCTTTTGGTTAAAAAAGTCGATTTTTCAAAAATGAAAATTTGAGAGAAACAAAAACTCCTATAGTAAGTTTTGTAGTGTAGCTCTTGCTCGACAAATTGATATAATAATAAATGTGTCAACATTTATTTTCGAGTTGCATTATTAAAAGCACGGACAAATTTTCCGTTCAAACTGTTTTTTGAGCTTTCTAAAAGATCACGTCATCAGTCTCAAGAAAAAATTTCTAAGCCTACATTCAAAAACAGCATAAAATTCTGATTATAATCCATAGCTTTTGACTTCTCAAAAACTTTTTCAAGGTAGTTACAAGTAAACAAATACTTCGTCTTAAAATTTTCGTTCCATCCGCTACATGAATTACTTCCTTATTGTATATCACAAGGATTAAGTAACAGGATAGTAACTGCAGAAATGTATTTCAAGATAAATAGAATAATACACAATCTTTCTATAGTTAGCAATGGTAACTACATCATATTTCACATTTTAATCACGTAAGGATTGCACACTAACATCTTTCTTTCTATAGAACCTGTTTCTCCATTTATTAATCTTTATTCTACTTCAACTATACCTGAACAAATTGAACAACAAAATTCTTTACTTGAACTTGTTATGGAACAAAAACCTGCTAATGGTCATCTTGTATTACATCATGATAAATTAATACTTATATTGTATTATTTAATGTATTATCATATAAAATCTATTCGACCATTTTCATTATTTGATACTAAAGGTATACATGCATTTTTTACTGATCTTTATTCACATCCATTAGTAACTGATGATGTTGATAGTACAATATCAAATAAACGACAATTATTTTTTTCACATTTACTTAATACAATATTTGAACAACATGATAATACAAAACAATTTGATGAAAAAATTTTTGAATATATTTTACGTTTATCAACTGATATGCTTGTTGATCATGAATATATACGTCGACATTATATATCACTTTTATATGCATATAATTATGATTATTTAGCAATAAATGAAGAAAATCGTATTTATGATAGACAAGCATTAGCTTTTCAATTACTTACAATAGCAGGTTTAAGACTTAATTATATAATTGATGGTAATGTTGATTCAACAACAAAAATGTCAGTAAAATCATTAGAAATACGAGCAAAAACATCATCAACATTAAAAACATGGCTTGCATCTTTAACAACTTTAGTCGATTATAAAGTTCAACCATGTTCTTTAGATGCTATTCAAACAATGTTAACAAGAATAGCATGTTATTTACCACAGACTAATTTAAGTCAATCGAATCTAGCACAAGAAATGATTGAACTTGTACAACAATTAAAACGATAAATAATTCTTACTTACTGTTTTTTTTTGTTCTGGATTTTTTTAATGTTATTTCTGTTTTTTTCTTTTTTTCTTTTTTGGTTGAGGTTTTTATCGGAAGAAGGAAAAGAGTGAAAGTATAAATTATTTGAACTATTTTATTTTCTAATGATGACGATGATGATGTTAAACAAGTATTACAAGAAATACAGAGTTTTTCCATATATTATATTATATTTAATGCTTCAATAATGTTAGTTATAAATAATTTTGTTGACTTTATTATGTATTATGTGAACTCATTGTTAATTAAAGAAAAATAAAGAACATAGAAAGTACAATAAAATTTTAAGCAGGCATTGTTTAATAAAGCCTTTTGTTTTGTCATTAGTATGGATAGAATTAATCGCTAAGTTTTTAAATGAAATCTTATAATTTTATGTTATTGTTTTCTAGAAAATTGATGCCATGAAATTAAAGACATTAGGGAACAGAGACAGTGATATGTGTTTGTATTATCTCACGATCTCAAATATTAATATCTAAAGAATCGGACATTATTATCGTAATGCAGATTGAAGTTCCATTCGAATGATATCATCATCGAAATGTACCAACACAACATGAGTAAGGGTCTTAACAAACTTTATCGCAGAGATCGACAACTCAAGTTATTTTTGCCATTTTTTTTTTCGTTTTGTGTTCATTTTTATAAAGAATGTTAACAACAAGTTTTGCATGACACGATATTTTATTCCTAGTTTTTATACACAAAAATAAAATAAGAACAATCGTACATAAAATAAAATGACACAATTATTATAGTCTTATCAATAAAGTAAAGGTAGTAAGCTCAATTTTTTTCTTTTATATAGTTCGACTAGATAGTAAAATATCAATCTTTTTTTTTTTATAAATAAAAACCTAAACTTTAAGTTGTATATAAGTAAAAGATATTTATTGACATTTAAATTAATGTCTTATTGCACTTTAAAGATGTTAAAATGCAAGTGTTAGCTTTTATAAAATTTGAACAGTCCGATCCCATTAAAAAATTACATTGAGAAAATACACGTTCAACTGGTGCCGATGTAGCAGGGACACACATGATTTTCCAATTAGCTTATTTTGAGAGATTGATATAAATTTCGATTTTTTTTTTTTGGAAAATGAAATCACTGGCTAAAATTTCTTCCTGTAGAAAGTCATCAATTCCTTTTGAAACTGATTGTGGATGTTGCATTGTCAACTTTTGCTTTTTTGAATGAATGATTTGAGTCAACGACATTCAACTTTCGAGTTATGACTTGAACTTACCCATCCCCGTTTCATAATTTTTAAAATAATCAACGTCATTCATATATTTGATTATCAATAATTGTCTTGAAAAAAAACAAAATCTATTAACTTCTTATTTTATAGTTCCCTGTTCTTCTGTTTATTTGAAAAAAGAAGAAAAAAAAGAAACTTTCTGCTTATTCTTCTAACTTTATAGTTGTAGGTTTTTTGTTTTCTATAGAAAGAGAATTCCATCATCAATTGACTTATATCAAATAATGATTTAGATTTATAACTGGTGCACATAAGTTACAAATCTATTAAAATAAAAGATACATTTCTATCACCAACAGTATTTAAATTTCCGAAAAAGAATATTTCGAAAGCTACCAACATATGAAAAGTTTATTTCTAGGAAACTATTCGATGACATTAAATCTGAATTATAATGTAATGAACAATACAGAAAATAGCAGAAAAAGGATTTGCTCCATAAAATCAAAACTATGTCAGGATTGTATACAGAAATGATCAATGTACTATATGAAGACATTGACAAAAACAAAGAAACAAAACATTTGAATCTTCTTAAGAAATCTAAACATTTTTCATATTTTTTATTTCATCAAGATATAGAAAAACAAGAAGAAAATATATCTTCAAAGATGAACTAAAATCGAACTAATCAAATTTTCATATTTAAACTTATAGTAGAAAATTTTCAACATAATTACATCATATTGTTTCATCTACCATATTGAATAATAAAAATGAAAAATACTTTTTATACTCTTTCATTTGTTTTTATGAGAAAAGTGTATCAAAATAGTGTTACTCTCACTTTGGATTAACACTTTCTTGCATACATGTTTTAGTAAATAAAAACCATTAAGAAATCCCTTTAGGGAAAAGAAAAACGAAGAATAATTATATCAACAATATGTTTATCTTATAGTTTGATGTTATAGTATCAGAAAAACACAATAGTAATCCATGTATTATTTCCTCATACAACAAAATAATTTGTATCGATGTTTATCAAAACCATCATACATATGTTAATAAACAATATTGATAACAATAAGCAAAAAAAAAACATACATCCATACATTGATAATCATCAAAAACTCAATAATGTTAACTGTCATATGATCGCTCGCGTTATCAGATACATTTATCAAAGGCTTATCGCTAAAATTCATTCGATTTTTCGACAACATAAGAAAGTAATTTACTTAAAATGAAATAAATCGACTACTGAAATTCAATAAAAAAAAGAAAAACAACGATAATAAATGAAAATAAAAATACGAACACTCCCACATCAAGACGATGAGAAAAGAAAAACAATAAATAAATATAACCAAGAATAGCAAGTACGATAGTCAAGCTAATCCTTAGAGAAATCATATGATGGAATTTCTATTTATGAACTTCATCATTCATTTAGTCAATAAGAATACGCTGAAATATCTATAAATCTAGTTTTATCTATAGTGTATTTAGATATGTTAAGAATGAACCAATGTCAATAATCATTCCTGGCATATAGATAATTAACCAAGTTAGTCTTATTGTAAAAAATCAAAATCACCAATTCCTTGTAAGTTCAATCAAAGTCGACAGTTGTTCACTCTTTTGTTTTTATCATATCAAACAACTTTATACATACAGATTGATGCTATATGATTGTGTTTTTTTTTTCTGTTGAAAGTCTTGTGCACTTTGATACATTCCTGTAGAATCTCGGAAGTTACTTATTTTAATATAGATGGATAGAATATTAATGACTCTATTGACCTATTTAATTTTTATTTCTCTAAATTCTTTTCTGGTTAAAAAAATTTGATAAATTTCAATATTTAACTGAAAATAGATTTTCCTTTTTTTAGTTGTTTAGGATCAGTTTTCATTTATTTATTTATTTATCTTTCAGTAATTATTAATTATATGCATATACATAGTTATTTACTTTGTATAAACAAATAGAACATCTATTGTTCGATCGAATTATATATTTTCTATTGAATTAATTCCTTAGTTTTAATAGAAATCTAATGATTTTCTAAGAATTTTTTACGTGAAATTTTTTCATTAGTATATATTTAGATAGAGCATAGATTTCTTTATTCATTCATATAATTTTAGTTCGATTAATATCAATTTTTTACAAGAAGTAATATAAACTTATTCTTTTTTTTGTTCAATATTGGATGACATAAATTTTAATCATAAAATTCAATTACTTTCTTAGATTCAAATCAACTTTGTTTGGTTTCTTTTACCTATATGTGAATGAACTAGATTATTTTTATCGAACACAACCTTCATGATTAAAAAATTTTGTGTCAGTAAAATAAAATTACGCAAAAAGATTTTATATCAGTAGCCTTTGAAATGTATTGAATTTGAATTAAGATGCAAAATAAATAATTCGATAGAATAATCAATCATCTATTACACTATCAAAAAAAAGTAATTTATGAATTCATTTGAATAAACAGCAAACTAAAAAAAACCAAAACTATCAAAATAATACAACCGTCATGGTATTCGTTTTTGTTTGACTATATTAACTTGTTAATACACAATTAAAGAAGAATCGAGACTTAACTTAAATTTGGAAATTTAAAGTTCATTCTTTTGTTCGCATTTTATTCTTATAGTTTACTTCACATAAATAGATTTGATTTAATTTATTACTGAAATGAGAATCAGGAATAATCTATGATATGAACTTAGTAATCAATGAAAAAAATTAATTTAATATATATATTTTTTTATAACGTAATTGAATTTGTTTATCGTTTGAAAATAATAGAATATGTTTTAACTCATAGTTTATTCGTTTATATTTAGTCAATCTTTCCTTCAAAAAAAAAAATAAAGAAAACGAATTATCAGAAAATAAATATTGATCTCAATGGAACAATTATTTGTTATAATGTTAAGAATAACGCCATTGACAATAAGAAATAATGAAATAGTCAAGTTTCTATAAAAATTTGTTCTTTTCTTTCGACTTAATTTAAATATACTGATAAAAAATAGTTTAATTAAAATTTTTTTTTTCTTGGACTCGAATACCTATCAAGGTTTTTGAGGTATGTTGTCCTTGTCACTTTTAGATATTTATATTATATTTACACCATGAAACAATAGGATCTCTGACTCATTACATTGATAATAATCATAAACAAGATAATTTTCGTAAGTAATCATAACAACGAATGTTTACTCATGTGTTTGTATAACAGAATTAATTTACTACTGTGTAGTTAATAGAATTCTTACTTTTCATTAATCAAGAAAATAATTTAATATGATAGGATATATTTAAAAACGTGCTTCGTCTGTTATTTACATAGAATACATGTCATTTCTTTTTAATATCATTGTGGAACAACCATTGAACCATTAGCTTAAATCATCATCAACAATTTTGTTATTTCGACTTCATTGAATTTACTTTTGGTAGATAAGACATGTGCGACATCTTATCAAATAATATTTTTTCGTATGATGTCTTATGATGGATTAGACGTTAATCTTTATCCTATTTTTTAAGTCTTTCAGTTATTTTTGAACATGAGAAAATTGATTTGAATGCAATCAAGAATTTTCTATAGAAAAACAAAAATGGTTCAATTGAATCCAATGATTAATAGCAATGAATTTTTATATTTAATATATATATAGATATATATAGATATATAATTGATCCCATTCCAATCAACATAAATCAG